GAACCAGCTACCCAGAGAAGTGGTGAAATCTCCATTCTTCGAGGGTTTTAAGGCCCAATTGGACAAAGCTTTGGCTGGGATGATGGGGTTGTGGATGGTCCTGCTTTGAGCAGAGGGTTGGACTAGATGACCTCCTGAGGTCCCTTCCAACCCTAATTTTCTGATTCTGTGTTACTCCCATCCTTAAGGATTATAATGTATGTATGTAATGTACATAGGGCCCTTAACTAAGTATGGTAATTCTCTTCAATGGGTTATTCTGACTGCTAATTACCAGAGAAAAATAGCTTTTTATCTTCTTAGGATGTCTCCTATGCTGGAGGCCAGCATCAGAGTTACCATGCCAGTTCCAACCATCCAGAAAGTCTGTCTCCATTGAAGCTATCCCTATCTAGCCAGAAAAGTTAGCTTTATGATTCCCTTGTTTCCCAGGAACTACAGTTGGGTAAAAAGACCTGTCCCTTAAAATAATGCATAGGTTTGTGCATGAGTCTAAGTTAATGATGTATGTAAGTACATAAGGCCCTTAACTAAGTATAGAAATGCTCTTCAATGCATTATTTTGACTGCTAAAGGCCCAGCTGGATAAAGCCTTGGCTGGGGTGATAGGGTTGGGGCTGGCCCTGCTTGGAGCAGGTGCTGGGTCTAGATGATCTGCTGAGGTCCCTCCCACTACTTATTTTTACCATGCTACAAGACCTTCCCCCCCCCCCCGCCCTGTAGAATCATAGAAAGTGAGGGTTGGAAGTCTATCAGGAGTCCATCAGTTCTCAACTTTTTTTGTACCTGGATCCATTTGTAAACTTCAATGGCCAGTCCCCCCACAGTACCCACTGACCCCAGTTCCCCAGCATGTGGAGCAGGGGGTGGATATGTGAGGGGGGGGCAGCCCAAGCAGCCCCTCACAGGCTGGAATTCTGCCAGCCTGCAAGGGAAAAGCCATGTTTTGCCATGTTTGTCTCCTTTAAAGGAGAATCCATTTTTAAAGTTTGTTCGCCACCCTTTCATATATTCTTGTGACCTCCATTTGGGTCATGACCCACAAGTTGAGAAACACTAAATCTAGTCCAAACCCCTGCTCAAATCAGGACTAGCCCCAAATAGATCACCCCAGCCAAGCTTTGCCTATCTGGGTCTTTAAAATCTCCAGGGTTGGACATGCCACAGTCTTTCTGGGTAACCTATTCCAGTGTTTTACTACCCTCCCAGTGAGAAAGTTCTTCCTAATATGTAAGGGTATAGAGTTGTTGTTGAGTTCTCTTAGATTTACTCAAAGAATCTTGTCTGCCTATGTCCTTAGACCAACACGACTATAGCCTATACCCCTGTAACATGGAAGATACTGAATTAAGCCATTTTGAAATGGAAACTACACAACATGAAAAAGAAAGAAGTCAAACTCAACAGTGACTCTGGCTTCTTTACTATTCATTCCATCCAGGAAGAGCACAGACCAACTGCAGATGCTTCTTCAGCCTGATGAAGGATATTTATACCCGCAAGCTTGCAAAGAAGAATTTTTCCAACTATTTGAGTTGGTCTAATAAAAGATCTCAGCTTTATCCTAATATCTAACCCCTCCAAAGTCCACCACCTCTCTGGGTAACCTGCTCTAGTGTTTTACTACCCTCTAGGGTTGCTAACTGCATTTGAATCTATTCTGGGAGGTTTCTGCAATGCCACCATGCCCATGACACACAACACGAATGTGCCTGCATGCTTACATATATCAGTTAGAGAGTAGAATGTGTAGACTTTACAACAGGAAGGCAAATACACATGACTATTACCTTTTAAAAACTCACTGGACTACTTACTAAATTGGATTCAACATTTAATATTTATTTTAATGAATGCCCTATCATTTATCTCCTGGGTGACTCTCTGCAGTCTCCTAGAGATTTATATCTAATTCCTGGAGATTCCAGGGCAATCCTGGAGGGCTGGCAACCCTACTACTCTTCTAGGGAGACAGATTTCCTAATATCTAACCCCTCCCATGATGAAGAGTCCGCAGTCTCTCTGGGTAACCTGCTCCAATGCTTTCCTACCCTCCTAGGGAGAAAGATTTTCTAATATCCAGGGATCCTGGTTTTCTCTGATTTAAAAAAAATCCCCAATTATTGGTTAAAAACCCCCCACCCCAAATCCACATTTTTTCATGATTAAAATGAAACATCACTATATATATATCTCTTGTTGTTCGTCCTTCACAAGTGAAGATGACTGCATTTGGGGGGGGGGGAGAGAGAGAAAAGAAGCGGGAAAGAAAAAGGGAGGGAGAAAAGAGAAAGGGAGAAAGGAGAGGAGGGGGGTGGAGGCTAGGTTACATGGGTAGGCAGGTGATTTATAAGCCCAGTCTTTGCCCTGAACAATCTGCTGCAGCAGGGACAGGAGAGCAATGAGGACTGAGAGGTCCTCGTTTTCCTAGCCACACGATTCCTCACTGCCTCTGCCATGCGCCACTGCTTGAAGGCCAGTGCTCCGCTTGGGACCAATGATCTCCAGGATGGGCGGTCATGAGCAATTTGCTCCCATGACTGTGGGTCAATGCTGAAACTCTTTAGGGACATGTGGCAGGGCACCTTAGGGTGCCTGCCACTCTAAAGGCAGAATCAGGCAGCTACCAGGTGCCTGATGATGGCAGTCATTTTGAGAACAGGCTGCAGTTTGCTGCTGCCAGCTCAGTCAGAAACACTGCCTGGATAAGCTGCAGCAGGAACATCTGGAAGGTAAGAGCAAGAGGCTTGTGGACCTGGACATCACCTAAAACTGCACCCTGCTGGGGAAGGGTGGCTGGGTGGGGCTCCTAGTGGCATGGGAGCCCCCAGGAAATGCCAGGCCAGTTACCTCCCCGGTGAAAGGCGAGGAGGCGCACCTTAACTTCAGTCCCCATCTTTGGGTGGGCTTTGGAGGCAGCTGTGGGAGTAGTGGGGCCAGGCACTGCAAGCAGAGTGCTACCTGAGCCCAGCAGGGATGTGAGATCCTGGAGACCCCAGAGTGGGGAAGTGTGGGGAACGTAGTTGTGTGGCCCCACCCAGAGTAAGGCTGAACAGGAGTAGGCCTGAAGGGCAGTCCCAGGGGCATTTTGAGTTGGGCCAAACTGGGAGTAAGCCTGAAGGGCAGTGCAAGGGCCAGCCCCATGAATAGTTGATCATGAAGATGAGAAGCCCCAGGGTGCGGTGTGCTGTAGAGGCCCTGGATGGGGCGTAGTACGAACCCCATGTGTAGGGAAGGGGCCAAGGCATGGTCATGGATGTCTGAGGCTGTAGTTTGGACTGGAGGCCAAGAGTTAGGGGCAAATCCTGACCCCAGTAAGTCCTCCGCTGCAAGGAGGCTGAGGGTGGGTTGAAAGAAAGACCTTAAGGGCAAGTAGAATGACCTGTGGCGCCAGGGAGGGAGTGAGAGTCCCTGTGAGACCCTGGAGCACCAGTCATGGTATAGGTTATGATTACATCATGTGGATGCCATCTGCAAGGCATGGGCTGCAGTGTAGGGGAGGTTTGGAGCTGCAGATAACACCCCCTGGCATCAGGGCATGTAATGGGCAGTCTTCTACTTTTACCACCAGTTTATGGAAACAACAAAGTCATAGCAGGGGAAACTGGGCGGACTGCCCCATAGAGACAGGTAGGTGGGCTGGCATGAGACCTGGCCCTGACAGTTGTCCCCTGTCACAGGCCTTGTACCACTTCTTTGGTCCACTGCGAAAGTGTACTCCATTTGACTGTTTGTTGCAGAAGATTTTCTTTGGCAGGCGAATGTCGGGCATTCTTGAAAGGTGACCAGCCCAACAGATATTAGGTGGCTGATACCTATATATTAGTGGTGTTTCATTTAAATCACGGGCAAATGTGGATTTGGAGTCCCTTTTTTTAACTGAAAATTGGGGATTTTTTAAAATTAGAGACAACCAGGATCCCTACTAATATATCCCACCAAGGATGGTGTGTCTGGTCAACCTGCTCCACTGCTTTCCTACCCTCCTAGGGAGAAAAAATATCCTAATATCTAACCCCTCCAAGGATGAGGAGTCCACCACCTCTCTGGGGAATCCTCTCCAGTGTTTTACTATCCTCTTAGTGAGAAGGTTCTTCTTAATACCTACTCCTCCCAGGATGGAGAGTCCACGGTCTCCCCGGGTAACCGGCTTCAGTGATCTCCTACCCTCCCAGGGAGAAAAAGTATCTGAATATCTAACCCCTCCAAGGAGGGAGAGCCCACCATCTCTCTGGGTAACCTGCTTCAGTGCTTTCCTACCCTCCTAGGCAGAAAAAAAATATCCTAATAGCTAACCCCTCCCAGGATGGAGAGTCCACGGTCTCTCTGGGTAACCCGCTCCACTGCTTTTCCTAGGGAGAAAAGATATCTTAATATCTAACCCCTCCAAGGAGGGAGAGTCCACGGTCTGTCTGGGTAACTTGCTCCACCGCTTTCCTACCCTCCTAGGGAGAAGCATGTCCTAATAGCTAACCCCTCGGAGGATGCAGAGCCCACCACCTCGCTGGGTAACCCGCTGCAGCGCTTTCCTAGCCTCCCGGGGTGGGGACATTCCTCATACCTAAGCCCTCCCAGGATGGAGAGCCAGCAGGCGCTGCGGGGACCCCGCTCCAGTGCTTTCCCGTGAGCCGGTCCCGACGCGACCCCCGCCGGGCCGCGGCTGCCGAGAGGGGCGGCGCTGGCGGCGACACCCAGCGCTGCGCGG